TTGCCCCCAGGGATAGTGAAGACTTTGCATAGTTTGGATCAGACTGCCATCGCTGGTAGATTCAACCGTCCCCTCTGGCAAGTGATTTGAGTGGAATCCAAAAGTCCCTCAGGCCTCCAAGACCTCTAACCACTGCTGTGCCTGAATATCCCAGGATCATATTTTGAAGATAATAAAATTGTTTAGATATAAGAGTTTCATTGCTGTAGAGGCAATAATACACTAGAAGTGGTTGTTTCCCATTAAGATGGATTAAAGCATTAAACCAATAGTTATTTGTTTTAATCTTTAGTATCCACCACAGTATCTATCGTCAATAATACATAAGGCACAGCTCCTAAGCTCCAGGAGCCCCCAGACTAACCATAATCACACATGAAAAAATAGGTCCTAGTGTGTATCTGTGCAGCGAGGGTTACTGGAACTCTGACGAGGGCAATTCTTGACCACTCGCAGAAAGAATTCTGGGTGGTACTGTGAAAAGACTAATACACTTTAAAGCTGTGTGTAAGTGTGGGGACAGAGGAAGAACAAGATGGAGCGTACAAAACTGAAAAACATTTGTGAGTATTGTCAGTTGTTTTTGAGGAGTTCAACTTAGTACCAGTAATAACTTGCACATATATGTTGCTTTATGGCTCATGGAACAATTTCATCTGATAATGCAGACCAGGTTTAATAGATATTGTTCCTGTATGTACACAATTCAACTGAAATGTTCAAGGCCGTGGAGTTAGTGAGAGGTAGAGTAAGAATCCACCCCAGGTGCCTAGGCCCCCAAACACAGAGCTTTCTAGAGCATTGACATTGCCCATGAGGTGCAGGCACACATGGGGAAGATGCTTCCTTGGAAAGCAGGGACACTGGATAAGCCTCGCTCAGAGGCTCTAGAGCCAAAAAGGGCTTTAGAGCAGTGTTCTCGATTCTGGCTCCACATTAGAAATACTGGAAAAGATGTTTTCAATGGCCACGTCCATCCCCAAACCCAGGAATTTTGACATCATCAATCTGGGATGGAATTCCTAGCATCATCAATTCCTGGCAATGGAATTTCTAAAAAGCATCCCAGGTAACTCCAACCAGGTTCGTGCCACCACTTGAGAGGTCCTTTATGGACCTGTCCCTGCTTGAGTCTCTTTTAATGTCTTTATCTTCCCAGACTAGGAGTAAAGTCTTTGAATGTACCCAGTTCTTATTCATCCTGGGCAACTGAAACACTGAAATGGAAAAATCATGCGTTTGTGTTGAATAGTCTAACGGGGACTCAAAATCTTCTCATTTACATAAAAAAGAACTGAAGGTAGGTGCAAAGTACGGAAACACACCCAGGCAAACAACAGAACTTTGTCTTTGGAAACTCTACTGCCCAGGTTGCTTTGGCAAAATCCCACTGCTCAGATTATTCCTTGGCAGTAGTTAAACCTCAAATACTTGATTTTGAATGGATTAGTTCAGAACTCCAAATGAAAATGCAGGGACATTTTAGAAAAGAGCCATTAAGCATAATCCCAGATCAGCAAGCCTGGATCAGCAAAACTGATTATCCTGCTGTTGAAATAAAAAACACAAAACACCGAAACAAAAGCAAACCAGAAAGAAAACCCTGTATGTTGGTCGGAACTTTTCCCATTGAGTGGAACAGTTACAGCAACAACCTTGCCTCCACCTCACCGCAGCCCCTCAAAATGTTCATGTACACAGCTGATGTGGACCCACAGAGGAACTCAAGCAAACTTGGAGGAGATTGAGGCCTGTGAAGAAAGCACAACTGGCCATCATTCACTCTGCTGAGATGGCTTAATAGACACCAGCTGACCACACTGAGCATCCTGGGCTCCTTTGCTGATGTGGGCATTGATTCAGACACATGACTTCTTGATTCTTGTCATATCTAATCTAATAGAGAGCACAGAACATTTTCAACCCAACAGCAGATAATTGTAATGAAGTGATTCTGGCCAAGAGGGCCCATTTGTAATAATGAATTCAAATCAGATTCATGGAAGCTATAATTCAACCATAGTGAATAGCACCTTCATTTTCCATATCATCTCCTCTTGCAAGAGGGCAAAATAACTCAATATTCAAATAATTATTTTTACTTTTCAAGTAGCCCTATGAAGTAGTTATGAGGAAGATAATATTGCCTCACTTATAGAAAATGAGTTTCATCCACGTTCAAAACTTCAGTGTCATCTTTGGCACAGCACTTCCTAATGTCCCTCAGAGCAATCAAAGACCTGTCACAACAAAACTGATATCCCAAAGGAGGGAAATCATTCTTCTCTAAGCTGTGCCGTTTTTTCTCTGGGAAATTTAAAGGCAGACCCAGGTTTCTTGACTCCTTTGCTTTTCCTACTAGGTCTCTCTCCTCTTCATGGGACTTCGTTCAAGATTTAGAAACAGATTCAAGATACTTTGACCCAGGACAACCACATTAAAAGTGTTTTCCGTGTGATGGGCATGGGTATCATTCAGTGTTTTTTGGTGCATTCTAAACATGCAATGCGCTTGGAACACTCAGTTCCCAAGTAATGAATCCCTAATGAATGTCTTTAAGGAGACAAAAGAGTAAGAAACCATACTTAAGAATTACAACTTACACAGCAAAAAACACCACCAAATAAAACATGGTATATTTACCTAGGGTTAAAGCCATGGGCTTCCAGAAACTGAAAACATGGACCCTCCCTCAGAGTACTGACAAATCAGTTATTTGTTAAGATGGGCACACAGCACACAACTCTTAACCAATAGAGCAAAAGAGTAAAAACAAAAGGAGAGAGATGGGGACATACAGAAATTTGCAAACGATGTTTATGTTCTTTTAAGAAACACTGTGGTAGCAGTGAAATCAAAACCTTAAAAAATCAAGGAATAAGAAGACTTAAGTGATAAAGACAAAAAAGAAAGAAAATAATGAGTAACAGATGAACGTATATATTATGGGAGCATCTGATAAAAACGAAGGAAGAAAATAATAAAAGAGAAGATGACATGAGCTAAGAGAATGAGGATTTAAAGAGATTAAAATGTAGATAACGTGCTGAATTTCTCTATTCTGGGGTAAATGTATAGAAGAGACGCAAAATCAACATGAGACATGTGCTTACTTAAACAAAAATTACACCATGCAACCAGGTAACAGATAACAGTTATGCTAGAACATGTAAGTTATTCTTTTTCTCTGCAAAGAACAAAAAGCAACTATTCAGCTTTTCTTTTTTTATTCCCATCCCCATTCCCAAGCCCAGCTGCTCAACATTAGAACTGAGATCATGAAAACAGGCCAACAGCTAATAAAAAATTGGTAGATCGAAGCTGGCCCTCTGCTGGTGGAATAGTCTTCTTGCATCTCAGAAAGCAGAAAGCTCAAGTTTTCAAGCTTTCTGGTTTAATTTGGGGGGAAAGGAAGAGGACAGAGGATTTTGGAAAATTCAGGGCTCAGATCCTATTCAGTGCTAGACCTCTTAGCCCCCAGTGGCACATTAGATGGTAAAGAGGTGTGTGGCAGCATCAACATCCCTGAACACTAGTAATATTTACTGACATTTCCTTGGTTAACATGTATTATAACCTGTGTGCTATTCATATCTTTAAGCCAACTAGACTACTGCAAATGCTTATTGGGAAATGTTCCCAGATTCCCCATGGAACCTTCTTTGAAGCAATGAAGTAGGGATATTACATTCTAGTCTGGGGCAGGCTGAGCGGTACCCACATGACCAGGAGGACTTTTCCCTCACATCTATCAGGAAGGGCCTCTCAATTCTCCTTTTTTCTCCATTTGCTTTGGGCTTCTGAGAATCAGCACACAGGGTTCTGGGACCTGTTCTCTAACTTAAAAAAAGATCCAGCTAAGTATCACCCAAAGTGGCAGAATGCAACCTTCACCCTTGCGCTTAGGGAAAGAATTCCGGTGTCCCAGAGACCTGTCTTTCCTCCTCCAGGGAGAGGCTTGTCTAGATGCAGGAAAGGTTCCACCAGGAAAGCCAATGGAGGAACAGGAAGAACTCCCACCCTCACACTCTCCTAGGAGAAGCCAGGCATTCTGGCTGCAGAATCTGGGTCAGGATGTTTTATTTTCACCATAACCATCAAAGTCATCGGCAGGGCAAATGCATTCGCCCTGTGTACATTGTGAGACATAGTTAAGCTGGGACGTCCCTGAATCTGTCTCCTAGGACCAGAACTGCCTCATTAAAGGGATAAAAGATGATATCTGCTGAGCTAGTGGAAAGTGGTGGTTGCATTTTTATTAAAGTCTCTGCCGCAGCAAGCCCAGTCCCCAAAGGTTCATATTCCAAGATTCTCCCCCTCTCTGCCTGGAGCATGCAAGTGATTCTCTGTAACTCATTAAGGTAAAACAAAAAGCTCTCCTATTGTGCTTTTCACATAGGACTGATGTTGTTGCATAAAAGCTACATGTTTCCTTTCCTTGGACCCAGTCTGCAAAAATAAAACTGCTCTAATAATTTACAATAGGGACCCCAGGAGCACTACACCAGGTTTGGCAGGAGTCCTGGGTCTTGAGGAGACTCCTAACAGGCCGTGGCCTGGCACTGGTATTTGCACAGCCTTACATTTGAGGTGCATCTCTGATAGGGGCTAGCCTGGTGGTCCTGAGGACGATCTGGCCTCATCATCTACCTTCTGGCCTGTGACAGCCATCCAAGGGGCTCAGGCTAGCCACCCAGTGTTTCAAATCCATGCCCTCATATTCTCATCTTGGTTCCCATGCAGGAGAGAATCTAGCCTGTCATGGCTTCATAGAACCATGGAGTCCCACACGTGGACTTCGAGGTTCACGCATAAGATCCTGGAGCGGCATAGACGGAGCACACGACAAACCCGTCCAGGGGCACGGCGGTCGGCACGGCAGCGCGCAAGCGGGCGCCCCTCGGGCCTGCACAAGGCCCTCGGGCTCGGTCCCCCTCTCCCCACCTCTCCCCAGCGACCGCAGCCCAGGGGCTCGGCCCCGCGGAAGGACAGCTCCCTACCTGAGGGTGGCGCTCTCCCCCTGCCGGACCGTCACGTTGTCCATAGCTTTGGGGAAGGTGGCATCTCCGCTGCGCACGGGCACTCCTGTGGGTACAAGGAACAGCAGCCTGAGAGACACGACCACGAGGCACTTCCAGGGCAGGAACAGGTACCCACAGACCCCCATCCTCGACAGCCACAACTTCCCAGAACTCCGGCAGCCGCACGGTCCTGGTCCCCCGCCCCGCGCACCAGCCGGCTCAGGAAGCGGTGCGGGGAGGAGGGAAGAGGCAGAGCTCGCCAGGAGCAGGGGGAAGGAGAAGAGAGGAGTCCAGGCTCTCCGGAGTCTAAGAATTCTTCCTCAGATCCTGCCTCTGCTTTCCAGCCTAGCAGAACCAGATGCGCCCTCCTGCATCCAAAAAGCGCTTTCTTGACGCTCCCCTGGGGAGGAGGGAGGCAGCCCGGAGGGGAGAGGAGGTAGCAAGGTGCGGGGATGAAGGTCACAGATTGCGCTTTCTCTGCCTCTCTCTTCGAGACGCTACTTTAAGATTCAGTTGGGCACGTTCTGCAGAGCTCTGGCATCAAAAGTTTATAACCCAAAGAAGAAGGCAAGTGCCTCTGACATACAGGAGCTGTCATAAAAAGCCGCGGCTTCAAGGAGAGGAGGAAATGTTTTATTAGATCACACACGTGTACAGATGTACGTGTCCCCCAGCCCCAAGCCTCGCATCTGGAACCCCAAGGCAGGCGGCAAAAAGTTCCAAGGCGGGGACGCGCAGCCGGCGCAGCCAGAGTCCTCCGGTCGGTGGGTCTTTCGCAGCCCGGTCGGGGACTCGCGGCCAGCCCGGGGAGCGCCGCCCGGCGCAGGCTCCGGGCGCACGGGGAGCTGGGCGGACGGCGGCCCCCGCCTCCTCCGGGGACGCGGCACGGGACGCGGGGACGCGGGGACGCGCGGACGCCACGCTCAGCGGCCGCCCCCGGCCTCCGCGCCGCCTTCCTCCCCGGAGCAGCCCCGACGCAAGCGGGCCCAGACCGCCGGGGTTGTCATGGCAGCAGCTCCATCCCTGACCGCCACTTTCTCCCGGTGCCGCCTCGGAGCCAGCGGGCGGGCGGGCGGCGCGGGCTGAGCGCTCATCCCGGCGGGCGGGCGCGGGGCGCGGGCGCCCACCTTAACCCCGGCCGCGCCCACCGGGCTGGGGATGCCTGCAGGGATGAGCCCGCACCGCGCCCACTCCGCTCCGTCCCGACACCCGCGCCAGCAGCCGAGAGAACGCTGCGCCCCTCGCAGTGGCTTCCCCTGCGGAGGGGTGAGGTGGGGGGAGCGGGGAGGGAGAGGGGAGGGCGGGAGAGGGAGTTCTGGGGAAAGCAGCAAATTGAAAACTGACACCGGCACCTTTCCTCGCCGATGCCAGCGCAGAAGTTTTCAAAGCCCGCCCTGGAGAGCTGAACTACCCTGCCCACGCCAGGTGGGCACCGGTGTGCCCGTCCACCGCGCTGCGGCCGGCTCCCCGTCCAGCCGAGTCCAGCCCTGACGGCGCGCTGTCCTGGGCCCGTGCGGAGGCGGAGTGGACCCACCTCCGAGGACCCACCTCGGAAACGCCCGTGCCCCTCCACTGGACGCCTGTCCCCAAAGTGGCAAATCTCAATTTCTCCTTAAAACACAGCATGCAACATTTGTCCCAGTCCTACACTTTATCGTGGTAAAAAGCAGGGACTGGGAAAAACACAGGAAGATCCTAAAAAGTAGTAGGACTGATCCCCCTAAAACCCCTCACAGGAAGTGGCACCGCAGTGGTGCTGGGAGGTGACTCCGGGCTCTTGGAGACCAGCCTCCCAGTTTCTTTGGTCTCGGATTTGTCTCTTTCCGCTCTAAACCCCAGAGCTCCGCGTCCCTTGGGCCCCTCGGGAGGCCTTCTCTGCTCCCCTGGCAGAAGCCTCCCCGTTGTATTCTAATGTAATGGTTGCTATGCGCATCTGCTCTACTGTATTTTTTCTCAAAGCCTTTTGTTAAATTAGACCGGGCTCTGCACAATTGGCAAAATGAAATTTAATTCAAAAATAAGCATTAAGCTCTTATCGTTTATTACTTTAGTTGCTGAAGGATACAAAGGCATACTACTTGCTTTCAGTTCTGAGAGACTGAGCACAAATAAATACCGCCCCATTCCCCATTCTAAAAGGGTTAGACCACATATATGTGTAGGTCTAAAATTTTTAATTAGTGCATCTTACCTAGAAGGGAGAATACTTATCAGTAATTGTATCGGCTGTGGTGAAACATATATAGTCATATGCTGCTTATGAAGGGGGATACAGTCTGAGAACTGTCTTTAGGAGATTTTGTCATTGTGTGAATATCCTGATGTGTACTTCCATAAACCCAGATGACATAGCCCACTACACACCTAGGCTGTGTGGTAGAGCCTATTGCTCCTAGGCTGCAAGCCTGTACAGCATGCTACTGTACTGAATACTACAGGCAACTGTAACACAATAGTAAGGATTTGTGTATCTAAACCCAGAAAATGTGCAATAAAAATAAAGTACAAAAGATTAAAAAAAAAAAAAAAAGTTCATCTGTACAGACATTTACCACCGACGGAGCTTGCAGAACTGGAAGTTGCTCTGGGTGAGTCAGTGAGTAGGTGGGGAATGAAGGCCTAGGACATTACTGCACACCACCATAGCCTTCATAAACACTGTACAATTAGGCTACCCTAAATTTATCAAAACACATTTTTCTGTCTTCAATAATAACTTTAGCCTACTGTAACTTTTTAACTTTATAAACGTTGAATTATTTTAACTTTTTGACTGTTGCATAATAACATTAGCTTAAAACACAAACATGTTGTACAATTGTATAAAAATGTATTCTTATATCCTTATTCTAAGCTTTTTTCCACTTTTTTCTAACTTTTAAATTTTGTTTGCTAAAAACTAAGACACAAATACACACATTAGCCTAGGCCTACATGGAGTCAGGATGATCAGTATCACTGTCTTCTGCCTCCACATTTCCTCACACTGGAAGAGCTTCAGGAGCAATAACACGCATGAAGCTGTCACCTCCTATGATAGCAATGCCTTCTTCTAGATACCTCCTGAAGGACCTGCCTGTGGCTATTTTACAATCACCTTTTAAAAATAAGTAGCAGGAGCATACTCTAAAGATAAAAAGTATAGTATAGTATACATAAAAACTAGTAATATAGTCATTTATATTTGTTATCAATTATTATGTACTATACATATTTGCATGTGCTAGACTTTAATGGGATGGGTAGCATAGTAGGGTTTGTTTACACCAGCATCACCACAAATGCCTGAGTAACACTTTGAGCTAAGACATTAAGATGGCTACAGTGTCACTGGAGTATATTAAATTTTAGTTCCACTGTAATCTTTTCTATACCACTGTCATATACGCGGCCTGTCATTGACAGGGCATTGTCATGCAGTGCACCACTGGGTTAGGTCCTTTCCAGAAAGCAGGTATGACAAAGGCAGCAGTGGGGTCCAGCTCTCATCCATAAGCTCCTGAGGTACAAGGCTTTGGGGAGCTGTGATGCAGAGAGGAGAGGCTGGGGGCTCAGGGAGCAGCCCCACAACCTAATTTGGGATTTCCTCCTAGCTTTTATGACACGTGTCTTTTCTCAAGACTTGAGTGAACCTGGGTTTCCTGATTGACACTGTACTTCAACCTCTCAGCTCTGAGTTCTAGTCTAGTATCACCAGACGGGAAAGGCTCTTTTTCATACTTTAACTTGTGGAAAGCTGAGAACCTGAGGCCGGGCTTATGATTTTCTTCAGTTGCAGAGTTTGGAGCTTGAACACAGGTGGCTGGCAGCCGTGGACTTGGCTCAGGCTTCCCCTCAACGCCCGCAGCTCTGCCACTTGGTTGTAGAGCATTCACATCCCTTCCTCTCTCCTGGACCTGCTGGTTCTATTGCTTCTCAGGAGACGAAAATGGGGCAGTTGCTAAATCAACTCATAAAAGATTGCTTGAGACAGAAAGAGTTATTAAGGACAAAGAGAAAGGCTAGGACAGCATGAGATTCCCCATAGGAAAAGAATGGCTGAGACAAGTAAAGAAGAGCAGCAGAGATGGGTGGAAGCGAGGCGTAAATTTTCTTAACAGTATATAATAAGTCTTGCTCTTGCGAAGAAATAAACCAAGTTTCCCATTTTTTGCACAGCTGGCTCCCCTGAAATAAGGTATCTGGAGTCCTAAAGAAGAGGGCCTGTGTCTATTTTCTTCTGTAACAGCATTTCCTAGCTCAGTATTTCTGAGTGAATAAATGGGCTCAACTCATGGGCTAGCAAATCAGAGAAATGACTGCAAAGGTTGCATTTCATGTGAATCTCTGTGAGTCTTCAGTTGTGTGGGAGAGAGTTCATTCCTCTGTAGGACACTGCTGTGGACTAGTGTGTGCATTTATAGAATATCAAGCTGAGACTAAATTGAAATTAGAAACAGAAAATGAGTTGAGGTTCACAATGAACGAGGACTAAGTAGTTTCTGTCAGAACTTTTCTAGGAAATGCTTGGCTGAGTGTCATGACAAGGTGGCCCCTAGTGAAACCCTCTTAGATATGTGGAAACATATATAAAGACAAATTAACATCATGACTAACAGTATCCCTTATTGGAAATGCTTGAGACCAAAAGTGTTTCAGATTTTGAATTATTTTAAATTTTGGAGTCTTTGCATTATACTTACTGTTGAGTATCCCAAATGTGGAAATCTCAAATTCAATATGCTCCAATGAGCATTTCCTTTGAGCGTCATGTCTGTCCTCAAAAAGTTTCAGATGTTTGGATTTGGGATGCTCAGCCTATACTACTTCTGAAGTTACACTGTCTGTTCAGATACTGACTTGTCATCTCTCTAGCTGCCTGGCTGGTACCCAGGAATACCTATCCCACCTATGTTACAGGGTTTGGGGTTTGTTGAAAGGTACCTGGCATGTTTTAAAATCAAGGCTGGTAAGATGACAGACACAGAGACAACTGCCTTGAAAGATGAGTATATTCCTTGCAGTTCCCAAGAGGAGGGGCACACCATGCCATGCTGGACCACATGGGGATGCACCAGGGTTGGTCAGGAGGCAGAAGGAGTGAGAGGAAGGCCTAGCACAGGGTCTTCATTGTGATTTCCATGGAAATAAATGGGGGAGGCAAGGTAGGCAAACTTCAGCAAGCTTAGGATTACAAAGTTTGAATATTTCTGGTAGGCTCTGTGTTAGGGCGGTGGGGGTGGTTCTCATGGTTCTGTACTTGGCCCTGGGGTGATCTAGGGCAAGGCAATGTTGATGTGGTGTGTGAGCATTAGAGAAATGTTCGGGGTATGGGTTTTGAATGGATTGGTGTTCTCATAAAGGGCATGGCCACAGGCAAGTATTTTATCATCTCTAGGAATGAGCTAGCCCTAGGAGGGACAGTCTTCCCAGAATTAGCAAGACCAGGATATCAAAGCATTATAAAATACAGAACATAAAAACATGATTAATATAAGCGACAATTAGTGAGATAATGCATGCGACATATCACCAAAGGACTGGGCACATTGGAAAATTTAATAATCATGAATTATGGTTATACAGCAAAACTCCCATTTTCACATGATAACAATTTGTGACATGAAAAAAGATGTGAGTAAAAGGTTATAAATGCCCTATGTACAAACTAGAGGTTCTGCTCAGACCTACGGAAGTCTCGTTTATGACAATTTGTAACAGAAAATGCAAAGTTGGATCCCGATTACAGGACTGTAATGATCACAAGAGAGACCACTGGCTAGCCAGAGAAAAGTCATTATGAACAGGCTTGAGAATAGGAATCCTTGCCAGAGGGAACTTTCTCAGGTAGGAGAAAGAAGAGCAAAGAAAGCAAAGAGCTGTAAAGAACCCTGGGGATTTCCGGGTCAGAATTCAGGTGACTCTAGCCACTTAAAACTGACAGCTGGTATCTG